CTGCAGCAGTACTTGCGCCATTACATCAGAACAGTACACTACTACTTGAAAAGTTTACGTTTTCCATCTTTTCGAACAGAAAAATATTTCTATACAACGTACCAAAAATGTGATACAATAATGCAGCAATTTCAAATGCAACTCGAATTTCAACGCACTGCAAATGGAATTGAAACGCGCACACTTGAACGTAGTCTTGCATCACACAAATGCATGGAGGCAAAAGAATGATGATGATACACCACTGCTGTGGGAACCACAGCACAAGTGAGGGATGAAGGACATGCGCATGCAGCAAAAAGGCACCACTATATAAGTAGGGCTTGAGAGTGTCAGAGTCAGATGACATCCCACCGTGTGCCTGTCTCCCTGTTAAGTAAACATCCTCTGCCTGACAGAGTTGCAAGACAATTCTGGTTAATTGCTCACTAAGGAACAAGAGGCTTTTGTCTAAGGAGATCAAAAAAAGGATTTGTACCAAAGCATCATCCCATGTAAACTTCACCCAACATGATTCAAGTACTGTACTGTACTGAACATAACTTACACCCGATTTGGCAATTCCTCAAAAATGTTTCCCCAAATATGAAACCCACTCCATTTTTTTTGTCCTCATAAAAAGATGTACCTTGCATGCATAAATTTGGCATGACAATTTTTAGTCATCAACCAAAGGAATCTCTTTTCGAACCACATTACAGATCATAATTTTGTACAAGAATCTAGAATAAAATTGCGTGATAAAAATTCTGCATGATTTTCAAGCATAATAAAATTCGGAGTAATTCGCCTCATACAGTATTTATAAAGATTTCGTGCGTCGAGGATTTACAAGCAGAATGCAGAAAAAGAAAACACTCGTTCCTGAGACCAAAAAAGCTTGAATTCCACCAGGAAATACAACAAACGTTTCAAAAGCTAAGAAAACCCGCAAGATGATCAACATTTTTTTTCTTTTCATTTTGTTCACTTGAAATCGCCGTCAGATTCTTCTTCAGCCGAAAAATCCCCATCAGATTCCGACGACTCATCAGCTTTGTAAGATTTCCTCGCCAATTTCCTCTGGGTCTGACGCTTGGGAATATTTCCAGCTTTTGCAGCCTTGCGAACTTGTTCCACATCTTCAACTTCTGATGAAGAAGGCGACGTTTCAGAGGATAGTGGATTCTGGGGACTAATTGTTCGTCTTTTCTTGGCTTGCGGTTTTGCCGGTTTCGCTGGTCTTTTAGGCCCAGCAGCAGGGTTTTTTCTGCATAAAATTGAAAAGAATGGTTGCTCGAAAATAACATTTCACTATACAGTACCGTGATGAGTCTTTTCTTTTAAATCCTGCAAGTCATCAACCAATTTCTACTTCAATAAACGCGCGTGTGAAACCCGGTGGTCAATTTTGACCCGTTTCTTCACTGACACGTGTAATTCCTTCACATGGCAATTTAATGAGGTTAAGATAGGATCTTCAATTATTTCAGGAACCATTAATTTCAACCCACGTAGAACATTTTTTTTAAATAGACAAACAATTCGCATTCAGTTAAACGCTGATAACCTTTGACATTGCTTTGTCGCCTCGATACTTTCCAGTGAACGCATCCAAGGTGATCACATTTTAAATATGAGCACTTATGGCAAAAAATAAACATCTTCCTCCCTGAGAAATCGTCATTTTGAACGTCATTAGGTAAAAATTGAAAAAATCGGGTGTTTTTCTTGGTCAATTCAAATTTTTAAGGCTTCGTGACTCACAGTTTCCGAGAAAGTCACGAGAAAAAAGATAAGATCCAGAAATTCATTCGTGAATTTATTTCCAGGAACCCCACGTTTTCGCAACAACAAGAAAAATAAAATAAATAAATAAAAATTTATGGAATCTTACCTAGTTTTCGGGGTCGGTTTCCGCCTCAGCTGCTTCTCCAAGTTGGCCAACTGACGCTTTTTAGCAGCAATGGAAGACTCTCCGTCAGCTTCCACACAGGCTTTCTTGACTTGCGCTTCATCCTCACTGCTGTGGTCCAAATGGTTCGAACCAGAAGCCACCGCAGAGTCTTCGTCAAAGTTGTTAATGTACCGGCACTTGATCCGCTCGCGAATCAACAAGCCACGAACGAGTCGCCTCCAGTTCTTGTAAATGCGAGTCAAGCGTTTGTCTTCGTCTTTCTTCTCTTGCATGGCCATTTCCTTCAAACCAGATCAACACTTGACATTAATACATGCGAGTAATACACTAAATACAGCGTAGTGATCACTGTAGTAAGATGATGAAATTACCTGGTCATAGGCGTCCTGCAAGAGTTCCTCATACTCTTGGCAAACCACGAATCCGTCATAGACCGGATGAGACCAGCCCCCGTGGAAGTCCCAGCCAACCATGGCTTGAGCACAGTCAATCTTCAGCTTCCTCGCGATTTTGTTCAAATTCGGCACTGAAGTCAAAAGAACTTTGAATCAGGAAACTCATCAAAAAGATACACAAAGGTTCCACTTCAAGGAAATCTTTTGAAAAATCCATCATAAGCCATCAATAAACTCACGATTCATGTGAACACAGCCAACAGGAAGCATGCACGGCTTGAACAGTTCAACATTGCCAAAGTTGTTCCTTGGAACGATCCCATTCTCAGCCACAGGTGGAACAAATGGCTCAGTTTGCCATTTCCCAAACAGCTCCAATGGTTGAGCCTTTAGCATTTCACCCGACAACTGTTTTCAACATTGCCAAAGTTGTTCCTTGGAACGATCCCATTCTCAGCCACAGGTGGAACAAATGGCTCAGTTTGCCATTTCCCAAACAGCTCCAATGGTTGAGCCTTTAGCATTTCACCCGACAACTGTCAAACAGAGATGCACAAAATAAGGGCATAACAACCTCTAAACTTCCTTATTTCAAAAGTGATCATAAACTTATTGTAGACAACAAGAATCTTGAAGAATTGTTGTCCTTGATTCCACCTTATGACCCAAGAACCTGTCACAGTCACATTTTGGATTGGAAATGTGAGACTGTGCTTGCTACAATTGGGGATTTTTTATTAGGTAATCAGAGCATGCTCCTCAAAAAAGTTTCTTATGCTGGACGTGGAAAGTTTGTTGTAACAAGATTTTTATAACATGTACACTACAGTATAGGATTTGGGCTGGGACTTGGAAAAAAGTTTGTCATACAGTACAGTACTGAAATTTTTTTTTTTGTGAGATTTTACGGTATTCTGGAGAGATTACCGAATTAAACCTAGACACTAAGGAATTATCGTGAAATGAAGAAAAGATTGCTGGAGTCGTCATCCTCTCCCGCTCTAGAGGAGCTTTATTTGAAAAAAAAAAAAAATATATATATACTTGATCCTCGAATATTTGATTGAATTGGAAAGACAGTGTTTCTTTGCTGTCTCACCCTGTCATACTTGGGACGAGCTGCAACAATCTTATACGGCTTCTCACCATCACGAATCACAAGGGCTTTTTCAACATTGCCAAAGTTGTTCCTTGGAACGATCCCATTCTCAGCCACAGGTGGAACAAATGGCTCAGTTTGCCATTTCCCAAACAGCTCCAATGGTTGAGCCTTTAGCATTTCACCCGACAACTGTTGAACAGAGATGCCAAAAATAAGGGCATAATAACTGCGGAACTTCCTTGTTTCAAAAATGATCATAAACTTGGTGGATAAAAATGATCATACTGCAGATCCATTGTAGGCAACAGAGCATATTACAATGTTGAAGAAAAGTTACTGGAGTAAAATCGTCTAACAACAAACTCATGGGGACTTCAGGAAAAGTTTGTAATAACAAATGATTTGTTATAATGACATATTCAAAATTCTCAACTGATAGGAAGATTTTAAAAAATCAACGCTGCATATATTAATCATCATTTTGGGGCCTTTTCAGATGTTTTTCAATGTTTAAAAGACCGAGTTCTTAAAATTGTTTTCATGTTAATAGCAAACATTTACCCTGAATAACAGGTCAACACTGGCAATTTTTGATGAATTCAAGTTTTCCTAAGCATGTCCAGCACAGATTAGTAAGGGTGGATGTTCCATAAAAAGTTACAATTTTTAAGCATCAGTAGGGTTTCTCAAGAACAAAAACCCCGTTTAACATGAGTTTTACTGGGTTAATTTATAAACCAACCCCCCTTTACTTCTTTAATAACCCAAGACTTTTTTTTTGAAAGAGAGAATGTTTGGGTGAATTTTGAAGAATTGTTGTCCTTGATTCCACCGTATGTCCCAAGAACCTGTCACAGTCACATTTTGAATTGGAAATGTTAGACTGTGCTTGCTACAATTGGGGATTTTTCATTAGGTAATCAGAGCATGCTCCTCAAAAAAGTTTCTTATGCTGGACGTGGCAAGTTTGTTGTAACAAGATTTTTATAACATGTACACTACAGTATAGGATTTGGGCTGGGACTTGGAAAAAATTTTGTCATACAGTACAGTACTGAAATTTTTTTTTAGTGAGATTTTACGGTATTCTGGAGAGATTACCGAATTAAACCTAGACCCTAAGGAATTATCGTGAAATGAAGAAAAGATTGCTGGAGTCGTCATCCTCTCCCGCTCTAGAGGAGCTTTATTTGAAAAAAAAAAAAAATACTTGATCCTCGAATATTTGATTGAATTGGAAAGACAGTGTTTCTTTGCTGTCTCACCCTGTCATACTTGGGACGAGCTGCAACAATCTTATACGGCTTCTCACCATCACGAATCACAAGGGCTTCCTTGAGCCAAGTTTCTTTCGAATGCAGCTTATGAACGCAGCTCCTCGGATAAACGCTCTCCCCTCTTATGTTTCCCAAAGGCTTAGCGTTATGGGGGTAAATGGCTTCAAACTTCAACAAATGTCGGTCCAACGCGAACAGAGGATGATTCTTGTACCTGATCAAACAATTACATTTGTCACGTGCAAGGCGTCACAAGAGAAATGAATTGGCACTCACGCGCCAATCGAAGAAGGTAACGGTTGTTCAGCAACAGACTGCTCAAATTCCTTATCCTCAGCTTTCCGACGCCGAGATTTGGGTTCAAGAAATGGTTGGATGGTTTCTCGCCACCAGCCATCTTCTGCACGGTTCTTCTTCAAAGACGTCGCCCACATGGGTTCATATCGTGGAAGAACGTCTCGTAATGTTCCGTCATTGTTGAAGCCTACGATGTAACTCAGCGGTTTCGACACCTTGCCCTATTTTGGCGAATACCGATAAGTTCTCAGTTCGCGATTCACTCATTTGTTACGAGACCTATTCTAGAAAAACACTGCATAACTAATCAACTTACTCCAGCGTGAGTATCCATCAATGTGAAGGAAGTTCCACAGTAATAAAAAAGTACAATAGTATCACTGATATCAAACTGGAACTGTGTCTGACTCTTTCAATGCATAAGAACTTCAATTATGAACACTTCAACGATGGCATGATCAGTTCACAGTTTTCGTCGATGGCCACACACTTGAAGGTCAAACACGTATAATACTGTAGATAGATTTCAACAACATTTTGACTTTATCCGACGTGATACTGAAAAGATGGAAGTAGGTTTTTTCTTTTTTTTTTACACTCACCAGAATTTCTCTGACGCAGTGAACTTTTCCAGCAAAAACGTCCACCGAAACCCAGAATTCTTCTTCTTCAAGAAACACTTCGCTCCAGATGTCCCTGACTTTGTCGGGTTTCCCCTGGGTTCCACTGGGACCCGGCTTTTCGTCGTCTGAACTGAGGATCTGGCGATTGATCTTCTTGGGCACGCGTTTTTTCTCGGCTATTACTTCGGGGGAAGAGTCTTCGTCATTCCTTTGATTCTTGGTTTTAGGAGACTTTCGGGAAGAAGCTTGGGAGGATTTCCGGGTGGGCTCTGACTTTTGATTCCGCGGCTTTTCCTTGCCAGCACTGCGTAAAAGCTCAGCGCTTGATGATTTTTTGGTCACTGACGTTTTTGTGGATTTCTGGGAGCCTTTCGCAGGGGTTGCGATAGATTTTTCATCTGCATTCGGCTGTGCTTCAGCTGACTTTGAAGCACTTGAATCCGCGGTTTTTGAGAATTCATTCACGCTTTTCGGAGGCACGGGACGAAAGTTACACACAAGACGGGCAGTGAGTCCGATGGCCCTTGCCAAAACTACGAAAGAGTAAACAATTAGGGCGGCTCGCGGAGATCGGCGGGTACTTATTACATCAGCTACAGCGTCATGTAGCTTTTCCTTTTCTGGCCGTTCGGGATCAATTTTGAACTTCTTGCTGAACCACAAAACAAGTTTTTCGAGGTAGTTCATATCTGTCCGCTTCCCCGGATAACAATTTGCGGATGGAACAAGGGACAGGGCCAGAGCTTGCAGTTCCATATTGTTCAGAATGGTTTTGTTCAGAAACCTATGCGAGGCTATGATGAACACCACATTAGATTTGTGTAGCATCAACTGCGTCTCCCTCGCTCTTCTGGAAAGTTTTCGTCGGAGGCTTGCTTCAAAATCAAATTTCTTCTTCTTCCTACCAACTTGGCCGATTGGTAAATCGATCTTGACAACAACTCCATCCGCAGGCAACGTGTACTCTTTTTTAACGGTTTCACTCGAGGGTTCATCTGGAATTTCAACTTCTTCCAAAGAACTTGCACTGTCCGAATCGTTGTCACCTTCATCAAACGAGGAACGGTGCTGTGATGATGCAAGCCCTTCGCCCAAAGAGAGCAACTCGGTGATGCTCAGGCTGTGAATGTCTTTTCCGCTCAACTGACTCATCGTGATCCACACTTGAAAAAGAACACACAGACACCATTGGAACAGGCATCTAATCGGAAGCGCTACATTGATTTACCTCGATGGAGTATCACGGCAAATGGGAAAGCTGATGGACAAACTCGTCTCTAGACGGAAGAAAGCCACATGTGGCTTTCACAAAACGCATCGACACACGTTATGTAATCAACACCTCTGCGTTCCGGTAAAACGTACCCACGCCGGCCGGATTTCCTGCGACCCCGCGCGGCAAGCGGGAAAAGTAATGTTCGGAGGACGCCACTTGTTCCCTCTCGTTAAGAAGTCAGAAGTATCTGCAGTGTCAGTATAGTCTGGCTCAAACTGTGTTCAGTGTTCGGTAACATGTATCTAACCTAATCCATCACCGAACTGCACCTAAACCTAACAGTTCCTTAATCTTATCTACAACATTGCGTGACTTGTCGTAATTATGCAACCTTCAATGTAAACGAAGCGCGGAACTGAGGAAAAACTCGAAAGTGTGAAATACTTAATTGGTACTTTCTGACTCTATCATCACAGAGTTACTGTACCCACTGCAGTGCATTTTTTTTTTAGAAAGGCTTTTATTTTTATGAATTGAAAGATTTTGTAGACGATGTAGAACATGGGTAAATTTTTGTTGAGCAATGCTTGCGACGGTCTTGAAAAGTCTGTTCGGATTGAAATTGAAAGATGAATCTATAATACATGAACTGCATATACCCAGGAATATAAAAGGTAGCACTCTTGCTGAAGCATATAAAGTGCGTGATTACTTGACTTCGTCTTCTACATCCTGAAAATCAAGCACATTTTGAAACATTTGAAGAGATTCCTGAAACTAAAATACTCATGAATCCGACTTATTTGAATGACAGGAATCTTGGGAAATAAAATCGCCTCCAGGCAGCAGCAAGCACAGAAGAGGGAAGAAACAGCTCATCAAATCCATGCAGGTCATGCCTATATGATGAGGATAACCACAAGAATCCAGCGGTTTTGAAGCTGGCAAGAAAGCCGTTGATGAGGCAACGGATACGAGCAGCAGCCCTCAGGGCCAGAATCTGCTGGCCCGCATTCATGCAACATGCCTCCAGGGCAGGCCTCTCAAAAAGCACCTCCTACTTGCAATAATACCTCATGCTCATTGAAAAAAAAAATATATCATGCTGCTCTCAAACTTGACACTTCCTCATATATGCAGAAGCAGAAAATGAACTGAAAAGTAGATCAGGAATTAAAGTCAGGCAGTGCAGAGGACAAGAGAGAAAAAAAATAAACATTTGGATCTCTGCAATATACTGGTCATCATGTCAGTATATCAGCAGCTCAGCAATTTTCCGGCTCGTTTCTGCTGCTGCCATCAGCACAGGTGACCATACGTACAGTATACTGTATATATATAAGTAATGTATCAGCATTTCCACAAGAAAAGGAAATCTACTGAAACGGGCATCAGGGGAAAGTGATCATGGGAGAAGGTGCTCTTCAGCAGCGCAGAGATGTCTTGCAAATGGCCTGCGTTTAGGCGTGGGAATCTTCTCAGAAACACCCGATTTCACGACTTTCCTTTCTATTCCATCAGCAAAGGCATGATGACAGCAGTGAAAGGAAGAAAGAAGAAAAAAGAAGAAGGAATTACCCTATAAACAATAATGACTGTTCTTAAACTGTATTGCCGCCACCAGGCCCAGTTTCTCTCATACACACGGAGTCCCATACCGTTGGAGCAGATGTCGCTCCTGTCACTGTTTCGTTACTTGATTTCATATCCTTCATTCATTCATCTTATTGATGTTATACTGCTGTATATATTGTACAGTACAGGACTCAAGTACATTGAAAAATATCTATCACGAAAAAAGTAAAATATTTAAATTAAAAGACGTAGCAAACAGAATATTATCCAAATGAAAACTATATACGCGTAGAACCATATAATATATCCAATAATGATAGCAGTGATTTTTGAGCCCAGTATTTCGGACGCGCTTAATTAATATTCACGGTTCCTAAAATATTTTCTGATATACAAGAATCT